AATATAATTGCGTGATAGTGATACTGAGCACGCTAGTGTAAGGACCCACTTTTTGGAGCTGTGCTCCCATACTGGCAATTATAAGGGTCGTTTTTAAAATTTCTTACCATTGCATAATAATTAACGATACGAATAACGATAATGATAACAATAAAAAGTAATAAAGAAGAAAAGAGAAGGTAATAATAAACAATGATAAATAAATAATAATAGTTGCAGATAAAATACGATAATTAACAGAGATGGGTGATCGCTTGCTCATACATATTTTCATGGAGTCACATGGAGAAAAACGCACGAGAATTGCCATTATTCGCTATTTTTCTTTTTCGACGATTACTTTCCGATAATCTTTTTCATCGATTTATATTGTCAAATGTTTCACGACACTTGTACACGACTTGGACTCGCTTTGCGTTACACTCCGTTCACCTTTGCTATGTAAAACCTCATATGGAGACAGAGTGACGTATACATATATAAATACACACACACACACACACACACACATATATATATACATATATATGAAATTATTGTAAAATAATGTAATGTGACTTTGAAGACGTAGGTGAGAGTCCAAAAGAAAATTCTTTACGCGTAAAATAGATACACATTTATTAAAGAATTGTCTAAATTATTTCCTTACTTTTTTGGCTGCATTTTATCGATGCATTGTATTTGTGCCGAGGTAAATTACAGATGAAAAATATAGAAATAGCACTTCATGGTTTCAATTTCAATAAATGTGCAAAAATACTGATCTTGGCAAAAACATAGCAACAATTCTTATAAACAATACTTTATATTAACTTATATTAAAAAAAGTTTTCGCGAGAGGAAAAATTTGATTTTAGATTACTAAATATATCATTAAGATTAATTTATCGCGGGACATCTTGTATTTGATTATTACTTTACACATTACAATATAACCAATTTTGTATGTATGTGTGTGCATGTGTGTGTACGAGTAATGTCAAATAGGAGATAGAAGTCTGTTATGTCATTAAAAGTAACGATAATACTTTTAATGATTATCTTATCATTCAATCATCTCTTATGTTATTAAAAGTCGCGCTTATGACATTATTAATCTCGTTTTATTTAAATGTGTTTAGGCCAACAATACGATCTTAAAATTTTTAAAGTTAACTTAAAGTAGATTTTTAAAACAATTTATGATTATGTTAACAGAAATATAGTATTAAAAAATGGAAGTGCTCTTGAAAATTAAAATTTTCAATTAATTAAAATTTAAAATTTAAATTAATTTTGAAATTTGAAAATTTAAATTTTCAAATTTAAATTTGAAATTTGAATTTAAATTGTCAAATTTCAATTTTCAATTAATTTTTAAATTGGTTATATGGAAAATATTGCAGAAGAAAAATCTTTAGATTTGCTTAAAAATTTATTGTTTTAATTAAGTTCATACAATCAACATAATATTTATGCCAGATGTCCCAAATTAATTTTATTTTCAAAGCATAATCGAACATGTTTTAGGTAGATTTTTCTTCAAAAATTTTGCTTTAAAATTTCAATATTTTTTTTAGATTACTTTTCTTAATTCTTTTTCTCAAGATTCGATTTTTTAATAAACAATAATTTTTATGATTGATTCTTTTCGCAAAACGACTCCATGATATTCATTTTCAGAGTTTCCGAATGTTATATAAAGAAGACTAAATATTGCTGGATAAATGTCTGTACACTTTAAATTGTACACGTTATTTTTTTAATATTTTCATTATTTAAAAAATATTGAATGTATAATCCTATCGCGATCAAAGACAGATGATATAGAAGAAATAACTAAAGAAAATTGTTTTGAACTTTTATCTAACTTTGTCACTTACGAAAGAACTCTGCCAAGTATAAATATTATAATAATGACATACTTGTATAGATCTATTATTTGAGTAACCAAAAAATAAAATTTATTATTTATAGGCTCAATTTTTGCGATATAAGAAAAAGCAAATATCAATTATGTCTGATTTTGTATAAATTGGCCATATCATTTTTGCTTTCAGCATAAATATAATATAGGTTTTTGTTTGTATTAATATTTTGAAAGATTTTAAAATTTAATAAATTATTGATGAAAATGGCGAAATAAATATAACTGATATACATTTAGTTTGCCGATGTGCATTGAAAATGTATAGTTTATTTCATATAGATTTTCAGTAATAATTTTCAAATAAAGCGAACATTTGACATAGTTCCTTTGTTAATGTTCTTAAATTAATATTCTTAAATAAAACAGAATAAATCACATTGCAAAGGAATGTATAGTTCTAATGTCAAATAGTATCTAAGGATGTTTGGCATACATAATTGGCAAAAAGTTATCGAAGTTTAAGTAAAAATATTTCTTCTATTTATATCATTTGGAACATCAAATAGATTTGAATTATAAAATATTATTAAAGTATAAACAAAATAACATGAAACCCACTTTAATATTTTTATATGAAAAAAGTTTATAAAATATTTGTAATTAACATTTTTCCCAACGAGGAACAAAACTTTCGGTTATGAATATCCTGAGAAATCAATTATAAAAACAAAAACACTAAACATAAAAATATCACAACTATAAAAGAAGTAGTAGTTTATAGAAAAATTTTTAATTACTACATAGATATCGAATAACTTAAATTAATAAAATATAAAAATAATTGTGTATATCAAATTAATAATTTTAAAACAAAATACGTATCCTAAATATACTATTTCGTTTCAATATTCAATCCGCAATTTTTTTTATAAGAATGAATGCAAATTTAAATATTAATTAATTACTAAACTGTTCAGAGAATTGTGTTCAATTTTTATTAAGACGCTTAGAACGATCTACGGAATTTTTCTGCTACTGCTTCGATATATGATACATACATTCTTAAACATTTTTATTAAAATTATGTTTTTTGATCTTCATGTATCTTTTTTAGAATACACTAAATCGATTTTTATAATCTTTTTTAATCTCTTCAGGAATGAATGCAATTGATCAAAAGTTATGGACAATCAAAATTACAAATAATACTTAACTTTTTCTGAGTGCTGACAATAATCACAATCGCTTGAGTAAAACTCTTAATAAGCCAAAATGTAGGATATATAATATAGAAAAAGAAAATTATAATCGCGTTTGTGAATCCACCATTTTTAATATTTTGCTGACTAATATTTATGATATAGCATGAATTTAATATCTTCTGTACATTTGTTTAAAAAATAAAAATGTAAAAGCTCAAATGTGAGTTAAAGAAAAAGAGGTGTAAAAGGAGCATACGAGCCAAGCAGATTATTTGTGCTTAGATAGATTTTATAATATTTTTAAATTTATAAATAAACAACAATCATTTCGATTTTAGATGAAGTTCAATATAGCATCTTTAATGATGCATACAATGAAAAGAAGCGAAGATTAAAATAGATTCTTTCTATAAAAAACTAGGTAGGTAGGTTTGCATCATTCTGTCATGATCGCTCTTAACAGTAAACAACTAAATAAATATTCAATATAGTAAATTTTAAGAATTATGCTGATAAACTTCTAGCTGATATCTTCACACTTTTAAATATATTTGAAAAAAGAATAGTATATCTTTTCAATTTCTTATATTCTCGCTAAAAAATATCATATTCATGTAAGGATTTTTCACACACACACACACACACACACACACACACATATATATATATATAATAAATATATATAAATATGTATAATTATACAAGTTTTTCGGTAATAACCGTATCACCTCTCGTAGATACGTAGTATGAGTTATATTAAATAGAAAAATCTCATATCGTTTTACGATTTTCGCAATAATTAAAGAGATATACTTTATATTCGTGAATGAGCGAACATTTGCGCAAAGAGACAACCCAACGCTACGCAACGTTCATGGTTGCTAAACGCGCGGCAAAATGTTTGAATGTGATCTACAAATGACAAAATATAGTTAAGGTCTGACGGTCAAAATGTTCGTTAATTTATCCTTATTTAATATTTCATAAACGACAAGGACAAAATGATTCTATGAGCACTATGCGACTAAATTGAATCTTAGTCTATTTGATTATAGTTGCACACCACTAACATGTCGGGTGCAATGAATTCGTTTACGCGGTTAACGCATCCACTGCTCTTTCCGCTTACGCGACCAAGTTACGTAACCAAAATTTATCGAATCTGAACACTTGGGTGAATAGCTGCTCGACTTTTAACCACTTTTAAACATATCTGAATACATAATATCTTCCAATAGAAAATCTGGGTAAAACTAAGCCGATTGAGAACTGTTTGGAATATGTAAGTAACGAAAAACGTTTAAACATAAATTTATATTCGAATAAAGTGTAATAAAATTTTTAAATTATATAAAAATAATATTTTTGTTAAGATATTAAATTTAATTGACATAAGCACTGAATTTTAAAAATATTTAATCTATGAGTTTTATTTAAAGGCTAGAAGGTTAATTCCTTGTGAATTATATTATATTTAAGCATTTTATTTAAAAATTCAATTTTTAGAAACTACAATGGAAATAATCAAATATTATGAATTGTACTATGGAACTCATCAACAGCTCATCAGATTCTGATTTATCAGATAGTTCTGATGAAGAATTATTATTTCCAGATGATAGGATATTGTTTATTTCATTTCTTATTATAGTTTATTTAACATTTTTAAATGATTATAAAAATAATGTATATGTTATACAATTGTAAATGTGTATGCACATGTGCGTGTGCGGCGTGTTTCATAATCATTTTTTGTGGGAGCCATTATTTGGGAATGTGTCCCAAATGCGCGTATTTTCAATTGGACACACCATTCACATCAGCCGTTGTCTAGGAATTTTCTAGTGAGTCACCTATCAAAAATTTTTTTATTTAATCGACCAATCGGCAATTCCGATTGGACTGCACCCTTTTTTGTTTACAGGAATATATCAAAGAGAGTACCAAAGAGCGATTGTGCTGAAATTAATTACATGTACGGTAAAACATTCCAATTTTATTTTCGCTTCAGAAAAGATCTTTCAAAGTAAGTATATAAATAAGAAAGGTTGTATTTTACAAGCAATGGTACGATCAATTTTTTATTTTCTTTATAAGTTTTATAAGTTTTTTTATTTATAATTCATAATTTTATGTGTTTAGATTTTCAACGTATATTCAATCTTAGGTCTATACTCAAGAAGTGTGCATTTTTAGATTAATCTAATCGCGAACTAACAAAGTTTACAACTTTTTCATTATATAACTTACGTTGAATTAATTTTCATTTTAGTCGGATTTCGAAATGTTCTTTCCACTTGTCATTTTAATGATATTTTCTTTTTCATTTTCATTTTCTTTTTTACTTTAATGATTATTAATTTTTCAGTTTTACAAGATTTACGTAGAACTTTAAATAGCAAAATAGAATAACGTGCATTTACATAATACCGTGAGCAAAGTATCTAGAGCAGAATTTCCGAGATAGCTGCGCACATAGGACACATCCCTGCATAAACGAATCATAAATCTTATAATACTAGATGCGCCTTTTCCTTTAGAAAACAGAAAGAGACAGTAGATGTGTCATATCTTCTATGCGTCCCTTCTATGCGCATATTTTCATCAATCGGACACGCCACTTATATCGGCCGATGCCTAGGAATTTTCTAGTGAGCCACCTATCAAAAGTTCTATTATTTTACCGACCAATCGGCAGCGGGTCCGATTAGGCCTCATCCTAAAATATAATCTCATATGTGCAAATGAATGTATTACATACTTTGACTATATAAATATGGACTGTCAATAGGCTGCATATCCTATAGCACTATTGAGCAAAAAGTGTTGCCAAAGTACAACAGATTCTGATTAATCCGCGCAAAATTCAAATCATCTATGTTTACCAAGTTGTATTTTTATCAAATATTATTTTATATTATGTCTATTTTTAATTTACAATTAAATAAATCGAGATAAATTTAGTTCTGTTCATATTAAGTTAATTTAAGTTAATTTCTGATCTACCTAAAGAAGGTTATGGGTTTATCCACTGGATATTCTTTATTTATATTGTAGCATTGCTATAATAGCGTATTGCTATAATTCTTCCAAAAAAACAATAAATCGGCATGATACTTTGATATTATTCATTTTTAATAAAGATACACGAGAAGCAGGAGAAGCACGTTGTTTTCAGAGTGCACAGATTTTATACCTAATATTTAGCTCTTGGTTGGTTAATGATGTCGCCTCTTTTTGATAACAAGTGTGAAGTTAGCATAGACATTTATACTATACACTAGACCGCTAATTCCTCTATTTACTAAGCCTGAAAGTTTATCCCAAAACTTGTAACTATGTATTACATAATGTGACGTAAGGAGGACAAATGATGTCACGTGATCACATGGTCGCGCGAATGTAATATGGCTGATGCACTACGAAACATAGACATTTTTATTAAAGATCTTAAATATTTCCATTCTTCAAATTTTGCTTTAGAAATTTTTTTCATTTTTAAATAAATTTCTTTATCTAAATCTGATTATATATATATCTATTTCACATGACCAAATACTTTGTAATATATACATATATTTCTAAAAGGCGTAACAGCTTTTTGTTAAAGAAACTTTTTTCTTCAAGAAATGAATAAAAGCTATAATAATTATTGAAAAGAATAAAAAAACATTACATATTTGTTATTCAAATATATATAAAATTCGTGTGTCGATATATATAGCATATATGGGAATTTCATGCGCATGCATGCTCCCTTACTTCATACGCATGCGCATGTATTTTTGTACATGCTTTTCGGGGCCATGTATTTGAGGCAAGTTAGCAGTCTAATATATAAATATAAGTGTCTATGGAAGTTAGCCATTGGCAATCCATAATTATATAGTCAAAGATGACAGGTTTTCTAACCTGTATAGTCGTCAACGTTAACAATTGATATTTCACTTCGCGGGACAGAGCGATGTTTATTTCTGCCAGATTCTTTCGTTTCGTGCAAAAACGTGTCGAATGAGCTTAGTTTCACCCATATTTGAGGTAAAAAGCCTAAATTATAATATTACCGAATAAATTTACTGACTTTTGAAGTTGTAGATACTCTAGTGAATTTCTTCATTTTTATAATTTTCATTTTGTTTTGAACATTTTCACACTTTGAACATTTTCATTTTGTTTTGAAATAAATCTTATAGTACTGAATATATCTTCTAAAATTGATATCCGAGTTGATAGAGCGAGAAAGTAACGTTCTATTCTTTTGTTTTTATATGATAGAACGAAAGAGAATTATCCTATATCCTTTTTTATTGTGCACTTTTGAAAACTAAAGGATAGAAAATACGACACATCTACTCTCTTTTATTTTAAAGGAAGAGGCCTATCTAGTACTATAAGATCTGTGGTTTTAAAATAAAATATAATTGATCCCCTGAGCATACTTTCTATCTAATTTTTGCCAATTTGGATATATATTTATTTCATTTTATAATGAGTGTACACTAATTCAGTTACAAAAAACAGATTACCTATTGATGATCCATGTTATAATTCTATAATTATTTATTGGTACACAGTGGTATACATTAATATGTAATATTGATATAAACATGTACCTCTATATTTTGGTATTGGTGATTATGTGAATTTTTGCATCCTTTTATAGATTACGCAATATCTTTCTTGGCTTTAGACACATCAGATCTAAATATGATATTCAAAAGATTGTTGGAACGATTTGGAGTAAAAACCAAAGAGCAAGCTTTGTTTTTTAGACAAAGGCTTGCTATATTATATGCCTTCATAGGATGGAATTCTTTTGGCATCATACTTTATATGCTTCTAAAGGAAAAAATGCCAGAAGATGATACAGAACGAAGTGAGTCTACATTTCATTAAGTTTTAAGTTTATTGAAGAAAATGATGAAATATTTAGATTGGTTCATTTATAGTTTGTTCCTGTATTTAAGATTGCTTACATAAACTTATATGACCATTTTAATATTTAAATGTAATTTTAAAACTATCTTAAATATAAAAACTAACTATGAATATCATCCTTATTGTTTGCAGGAATGGCTTATAGTCTTTTGAGTTCATCTGGTAATTTGCATGTATATCAATTAGAAGGTATGAAGCTTACCAATAATTTTAACATAGCATACAAAGTAAATGATAATCAGATAGAAGAAGAAAATAAAGAATGAAAAAGAAATTATTAAAACGGACGAGCATTAGGTAATTTAACAATGATTATTTTTCATAACTCTTGTGTAATATTACGTAATAAAATCAGTATCAAGAGATAAATTTTGTTGAGCTTTACAGTAGACTACAAAGAATTAATAATTAATAACGCTCAGAAAACAATAATTATACAATTGAATAAGTGCTATCATTGCTATATTTTACTATTCATCATGAATGTAAAGATGCTCCAATCATTGATATAAATTACAGTGTTTGCTCTACTGTTTTCTGAATACAACTAATCATCATCGTATTTCCAAGAAATCTGTCCATTAGTCGAAAAAAAAATGAATTGTTTAGCAGATCTCTTATGGAAGAGATCTTCTTAAAGCAATAGCACCAACGTTGGAACTACTTGATTCTGGATTCAGTTCCTTCAATCTTTGTTCCATCTCACACAATAACGCTGATCTATAAAGATAAAATATATAAAATACAAAATGTAACGGTAAAAACATACACATGGTTGTGAATGTTACCAATTGTTTCAAATTTCATTTCTCACCTGTACTCTTCATAACGCATCACAACCTCCTCTAGTTCTTGCTTGTACAATCTGGTAAGCATGGCGTTAAAACAGTCTAATTCAGGTAAACGGAACAATTCCCAGCGTAGCTTGCGATCAAGAGCTATCGAAGCCCGACTATATACATGTAACCAATGTGGTATCTCTTCGTTGAGATAGGGATTGGCCGGCACTAAAACGCTATGAGAATGAAAGTGAGTGTGTCGCGGTGGCGACACGACGCGTACCGCTTGCATTTCGTGAGGATAACATGGGTGTTCGTACTGCGCTTGACGTGTGATATGGCTGAAATCAGAAAAGATAAGGCGAGATATTTTCTTACGCTATTAGCATACTAAAGGTTAAAATCTTCTTACGAATTCACTCACTTAACATAATAAACGCCATATTCAGGAGATTCAATTCTCTCCCATCCAGTGGGCAATCCCTCTTTTTCGAGCGGATGCGACCAATGTGTGGTTTTAGTATTATGATCGATATAGTATTTTCGACCACGAAGAGTGAAATCGACCGACCATCCAGGCGGCAAAGGTAACTCATCCTGCTGCTGCTCGCTTCGAGAACTTGATCTCTCCGAATAACATCTACTGTAACTTCAAATATTAAAGGTTTAATTAAAAGTTATTGAAAATTAAAAGTTATTGAAATATATTTTCTTAACAAGTACATATAATGAATTTTGTGTTTATTTGCAACCATAAAATAAATTATATATATTATATAATTTATTATATACAAATTACATATAAAATATAAAAATTATATATGTTAACTTAGTTACAATTAGTTTTATTTAATTCTTAATAAATATATTCTGATACACTTTTTGATTAAAATAGCATAAAGTTTTTTAAAGTGCAATGAGTTGAAATATTTCTGTGAATTATTGCAGTAATTTGTAACAGAATATGCAAAACGATATTTATATTGAATGCTTGAACTTGAAGCTTCTAGAATTGTATGTCATTAATAGTAATTAATAAAATAAATAGATATAGATATCTATAATTAATATAAAAACTGTAGAAATTCAGTTTAATACCCAGCATTGCGACGATACTGATTATAATCCTCGTAACTGGTATCTGTGTCGAAAGGCATATAAGGCATCTGTGGTGTCTGCACCCTGTCCAAATGATACTCGGATCCAGCATATTGATTAATATAAGTATGTGACATTGCAGGTGACAGTTCAGGATGATATATTGGTGTCGCGGTCCTCGAAAACATGCAGTCATTTACTCCGGTATTAATAGAAAGGCTGGCAAATCTAATGTGAAAAAATTAGAGATATATTA